AGCTCCACCAGATCCAGCAGCTCCACCAGACCCAGCAGCTCCACCAGACCCAGCAGCTCCCCCAGACCCAGCAGCACCCACCAGACCCAGCAGCTCCACCAGACCCAGCAGCTCCACCAGACCCAGCAGCACCACCAGACCCAGCAGCTCCACCAGACCCAGCAGCTCCACCAGACCCAGCAGCTCCACCAGACCCAGCAGATCCAGCTCCACCAGACCCAGCAGCTCCACCAGACCCAGCAGCACCACCAGACCCAGCAGCTCCACCAGACCCAGCAGCTCCACCAGACCCAGCAGCTCCACCAGACCCAGCAGCACTCACCAGACCCAGCAGCTCCACCAGACCCAGCAGCTCCACCAGACCCAGCAGCTCCACCAGACCCAGCAGCTCCACCAGACCCAGCAGCTCTCACCAGACCCAGCAGGCACTCACCAGACCCAGCAGGCACTCACCAGAGCTCCACCAGACCCAGCAGCTCCACCAGACCCAGCAGACCCAGCACTCCACCACCAGACCCAGCAGACCCAGCAGCTCACCAGACCCAGCAGCTCCACCAGACCCAGCAGCTCCACCAGACCCAGCAGCTCCACCAGACCCAGCAGCTCCACCAGACCCAGCAGCTCCCCCAGACCCAGCAGCACCCCCAGACCCAGCAGCTCCACCAGACCCAGCAGCTCCACTCACCAGACACCAGCAGCAGCTCCACCAGACCCAGCAGCTCCAGACCCAGACCCAGCAGCTCCACCAGACCCAGCAGCTCTCACCAGACCCAGCAGCTCCACCAGACCCAGCAGCTCCACCAGACCCAGCAGCTCCACCAGACCCAGCAGCTCCTCCAGACCCAGCAGCTCCCCAAGACCCAACCAGCCCGGGCACCGTGTAAGGCGTCACTCCGGAGAGCAGCAACAAGTATCTCTGTGCGGCAGCGCTGTGAATGAGGCGTTCGAGGCACTTAGGGAGTCTTAAGTCCCTCTTAATATGACTTTACTACACGCCACACGGCTCGATAAAGACTTTAACCTGTTTATAGACGTTATGGCTGTGTTGAGCGTCGGACCAGGTGCTGGACCTGTTCCTGGTGACCAGGTGCTGGACCTGTTCCTCCTGACCAGGTGCTGGACCTGTTCCTCCTGACCAGGTGCTGGACCTGTTCCTCCTGACCAGGTGCTGGACCTGTTCCTCCTGACCAGGTGCTGGACCTGTTCCTCCTGACCAGGTGCTGGACCTGTTCCTCCTGACCAGGTGCTGGACCTGTTCCTCCTGACCAGGTGCTGGACCTGTTCCTCCTGACCAGGTGCTGGACCTGTTCCTCCTGACCAGGTGCTGGACCTGTTCCTCCTGACCAGGTGCTGGACCTGTTCCTCCTGACCAGGTGCTGGACCTGTTCCTCCTGACCAGGTGCTGGACCTGTTCCTCCTGACCAGGTGCTGGACCTGTTCCTCCTGACCAGGTGCTGGACCTGTTCCTCCTGACCAGGTGCTGGACCTGTTCCTCCTGACCAGGTGCTGGACCTGTTCCTCCTGACCAGGTGCTGGACCTGTTCCTCCTGACCAGGTGCTGGACCTGTTCCTCCTGACCAGGTGCTGGACCTGTTCCTCCTGACCAGGTGCTGGACCTGTTCCTCCTGACCAGGTGCTGGACCTGTTCCTCCTGACCAGGTGCTGGACCTGTTCCTCCTGACCAGGTGCTGGACCTGTTCCTCCTGACCAGGTGCTGGACCTGTTCCTCCTGACCAGGTGCTGGACCTGTTCCTCCTGACCAGGTGCTGGACCTGTTCCTCCTGACCAGGTGCTGGACCTGTTCCTCCTGACCAGGTGCTGGACCTGTTCCTCCTGACCAGGTGCTGGACCTGTTCCTCCTGACCAGGTGCTGGACCTGTTCCTCCTGACCAGGTGCTGGACCTGTTCCTCCTGACCAGGTGCTGGACCTGTTCCTCCTGACCAGGTGCTGGACCTGTTCCTCCTGTGCTGGACCTGTTCCTTCTGACCAAGTGCTGGACCTGTTCCTTCTGACCAGGTGCTGGACCTGTTCCTTCTGACCAGGTGCTGGACCTGTTCCTTCTGACCAGGTGCTGGACCTGTTCCTCCTGACCAGGTGCTGGACCTGTTCCTTCTGACCAGGTGCTGGACCTGTTCCTTCTGACCAGGTGCTGGACCTGTTCCTTCTGACCAGGTGCTGGACCTGTTCCTTCTGACCAGGTGCTGGACCTGTTCCTTCTGACAAGGTGCTGGACCTGTTCCTTCTGACCATGTGCTGGACCTGTTCCTTCTGACCAGGTGCTGGACCTGTTCCCTGACCAGGTGCTGGACCTGACCAGTGCTGGACCTGTTCCTTCTGACCATGTGCTGGACCTGTTCCTTCTGGGGGACCTGTTCCTTCTGACCAGGTGCTGGACCTGTTCCTTCTGACCAGGTGCTGGACCTGTTCCTTCTGACCAGGTGCTGGACCTGTTCCTTCTGACCAAGTGCTGGACCTGTTCCTTCTGACTGTAACGGGGGGTGGGGAAAATAGCTCTATCTTGTCCATTATTCCACCCCCCAGTTAACTAACGAGGCCGGGGGAAACAGCTCTCTCTAGTCCGTTATCCCGTCCCCAGTTAGCTAACTATTCTAGAGCACTCCCAGAGTTCCTAAGGCAACCTCTCTCGTTCACCACCTTGTAACCTAGGTATTCGACTACCTAGGTGCTAAGACTACAAGGCGCCGTAACTTGATCCGCTACCCGAAACTCTAGAGAGAACTCTAGTATATATTTCACTGCCACAAACGTACAAGAGAAATCGAAAGGAAAGAAATGAATAGTGAAGTAATTAGTGAGGGTTTGAGGTTGGGGTGAGAGGCAGGAGAGGGGTGAGAGGCAGAGAGAGGCGAGGAGGGTCATTAGTTGAAAGTGAGAGTTCCAAGAGGGGTGGAGGGAGAGGTGTAGATAGGTAGAAGTAGAAGAGTAGATAGTAGAAGATGAAATGCTGCCACCATCCATTCTAGACCATTACATACAAGACAAGGAATGGAACTTGTCTGTATCACAATATTCTCAAAAGATGTTATTACCGTGTATCAACTCCAAACATAGGGGACACAGTTAAAGGCCATTTAAATAATAAATTCAATTATATTTCACATACTAAGTATCATAATTTAAGCAATGTTCAAGATCTATATATTCAAAGTGAGTCATCCTCCAAGAATCTGAGAACACTACAACTGACTGCCCCTGATCATCACACAACACTTGTAAAACACGACCAAGTCACCTTACTGCTCAACTCACCAAGTGTGTGCCTATAGCTGGATAGAGGGGGGGGGGTCTATAGCTGACAGAGACTATCCCTAGCAGAGGTTGTCACGCGTTAAGCAGAGGTTGTCATGCATTAAGCAGAGGTGTGTTAAGCAGAGGTTGTCATTAAGCAGAGGTTGTCACGCGTTAAGCAGAGGTTGTCATGCATTAAGCAGAGGTTGTCATGCATTAAGCAGAGGTTGTCACGCGTTAAGCAGAGGTTGTCATGCGTTAAGCAGAGGTTGTCACGCGTTAAGCAGAGGTTGTCATGCGTTAAGCAGAGGTTGTCATGCGTTAAGCAGAGGTTGTCATGCGTTAAGCAGAGGTTGTCACGCGTTAAGCAGAGGTTGTCATGCGTTAAGCAGAGGTTGTCATGCGTTAAGCAGAGGTTGTCATGCGTTAAGCAGAGGTTGTCATGCGTTAAGCAGAGGTTGTCATGCGTTAAGCAGAGGTTGTCACGCGTTAAGCAGAGGTTGCCACGCGTTAAGCAGAGATTGTCATGCTTCAACAAAGCAGATGTTTAAGATAACAGACGCAGGCTAGCATCAAGAAACACCTGGGCCTCGACAGGTGTTTAAAACACCCGGGAATTATTCAGGGCTCCCAACACACGGGTTCAGCGCAGGTGTTGCGGTGGAGGACCGCGTCTGACACCAGACAGCTGCGTCAGCACATGACATGCACATGACTGATGATGTGTGACGCACTGGACACTGCGTACTAGAGCACGCGTGACGCAATGAACTGCGTACTAGAGCAAGCCGCTGCGTGACGCACTGGACACTGCGTACTAGAGCACGCGTGACGCAATAAACACTGCGTACTAGAGCAAGCCGCTGCGTGACGCAATAGTCACTGCGTACTAGAGCATGCGTGACGCAATAAACACTGCGTACTAGAGCAAGCCACTGCGTGACGCAATAAACACTGCGTACTAGAGCAGCCACTGCGTGACGCAATGGTCACTGCGTACTAGAGCAAGCCGCTGCGTGACGCACTTGAGCAAGCACATCTCGCAAACCAAAATATTGTTACACACAGAAATCACAAATAACGTGATGCATCAAATGAACAAATCCACAAGGGCCGTGACGAGGATTCGAACCTGCGTCCGAGAGCATCAGCTCAGACACTGCCTTAATCGATCTGAGCTACGACATGGTAAAAGAATTGCAACCAGAAATTCTACTGAATTTACTCGGATCCTGCAGCCTCTCCGAGACAAACCAGAATTTAACATGGTGGTGCATGGGGGGGGGGGAATTGTGTAAAATCCTGGGATACTCTCGGACGTAGGTTCGAATCCTCGTCACGGCCCTTGTGGATTTGTTCATGTAAAAATATTGTTATTTGTAACGCACCCCCCCCCCCTCTCTCCTCCCTCTCCTCTCTCTCTCTCTCTCTCTCTCTCTCTCTCTCTCTCTCTCTCTCTCTCTCTCTCTCTCTCTCTCTCTCTCTCTCTCTCTCTCTCTCTCTCTCTCTCTCTCTCCTGCCCTTCCTTTCTCTAAGGAAGAGGACGTCCCCTTCCTTTGGGGACGACGAGAGGTGAGAGACAAGAGAAGTGAGAGAAGTGAGAGGTGAGAGACAAGAGAAGTGAGAGAAGTGAGAGGTGTGAGGAGAGAGATGAAATACAGGAGAGTCTAAGAATGAGTTGTGAGGTGAATACTAAGAACACGAGGTTAGGAATATTAAGGAGGTGGGTGAGGTTGCTCAACCAAGAATAATGAGCGGAGACGCGTGTGTGGAGAAGCAGGTAGTCCAGCAGGTGGGCCAGCAGGTGGGTCAGCAGGTGGGCCAGCAGGTGGGCCAGCAGGTGGGTCAGCAGGTGGGCCAGCAGGTGGGTCAGCAGGTGGTCCAGCAGGTGGTCCAGCAGGTGGTCCAGCAGGTGGGCCAGCAGGTGGTCCAGCAGGTGGGCCAGCAGGTGGGTCAGCAGGTGGGTCAGCAGGTGGTCCAGCAGGTGGGTCAGCAGGTGGGTCAGCAGGTGGGCCAGCAGGTGGGTCAGCAGGTGGGCCAGCAGGTGGGTCAGCAGGTGGGTCAGCAGGTGGTCCAGCAGGTGGGCCAGCAGGTGGGTCAGCAGGTGGGCCAGCAGGTGGGCCAGCAGGTGGGCCAGCCGGTGGGCCAGCAGGTGGGTCAGCAGGTGGGTCAGCAGGTGGGTCAGCAGGTGGGTCAGCAGGTGGGCCAGCAGGTGGTCCAGCAGGTGGGCCAGCAGGTGGGCCAGCAGGTGGGCCAGCAGGTGGGCCAGCAGGTGGTCCAGCAGGTGGGCCAGCAGGTGGGTCAGCAGGTGGGTCAGCAGGTGGGTCAGCAGGTGGTCCAGCAGGTGGGTCAGCAGGTGGTCCAGCAGGTGGTCAGCAGGTGGGTCAGCAGGTGGGCCAGCAGGTGGGTCAGCAGGTGGGTCAGCAGGTGGTCCAGCAGGTGGGCCAGCAGGTGGTCCAGCAGGTGGGCCAGCAGGTGGGCCAGCAGGTGGGTCAGCAGGTGGGTCAGCAGGTGGTCCAGCAGGTGGGCCAGCAGGTGGACCAGCAGGTGGGCCAACAGGTGGGCCAACAGGTGGGCCAACAGGTGGGCCAACAGGTGGGCCAACAGGTGGTCCAGCAGGTGGTCCAGCAGGTGGGCCAGCAGGTGGGCCAGCAGGTGGTCCAGCAGGTGGTCCAGCAGGTGGGTCAGCAGGTGGGCCAGCAGGTGGTCCAGCAGGTGGTCCAGCAGGTGGGTCAGCAGGTGGGCCAGCAGGTGGTCCAGCAGGTGGTCCAGCAGGTGGTCCAGCAGGTGGTCCAGCAGGTGGGCCAACAGGTGGGCCAACAGGTGGTCCAGCAGGTGGTCCAGCAGGTGGGCCAGCAGGTGGGCCAGCAGGTGGGTCAGCAGGTGGTCCAGCAGGTGGGCCAGCAGGTGGACCAGCAGGTGGGCCAACAGGTGGGCCAACAGGTGGGCCAACAGGTGGGCCAACAGGTGGGCCAACAGGTGAGCCAAGATAAAGAGCGCATCATTAACAAGGCTCCACAAGGAAGCCTTGACTGCAATTGTCTGAACTGTCAAGACCTCGGCCTGTCAATTACCGTCGTTAGACGGTAATTCCCATCCCTTCCAAGTGCTATATGGGCGTACTGGCTCAGCGCTTTCTCCTGATGCTTCTGTTCACCTGGCAGTAAATAGGCACCTAGGAGCTAGGAGCTAGGCCGCTATTGGCGGGTCGCATCCTAGGGGAAAGACTTAGGGAAAAACTCAATAATCCTAATAGGCATAGTGGCTCAGAAAATTGGGGGTTACCTTGAGGTGCTTCCGGGGCTTAGCGTCCCCGCGGCCCGGTCGTCGACCAGGCCTCCTGGTTGCTGGACTGATCAACCAGGCTGTTAGACGCGGCTGCTCGCAGCCTGGGTGGCATGGTAATAATTGCTGGCTGGGGTAATTAATCCCCCCCTAACTACCGAGGCCTATGACAACGACCCCAGTGGTGGTGACGGGACAGGGAGCCTTCCAATAGTCTCCTCATATTACGAATAACGTCAACTAATGTGACGTTACTTGAGGCGACTGACGGGTGCAGTTGACTGTGTTGGTGTGTGCAGCGTTGCTAGTTATTCAGGTATTGATCAGTGGCAGAGGTTGTAAACACTGCCGTCCCCTGTTTGACGTGACACACATACACACATGGGCCTGGTGGCTGAGTCGACAGCGCTTGGGATTCGTAATCCTAGGGTCCAGGGATTGATCTCCAGTTATGGCGGAAATAAATGGGCAGAGTTTCTTTTACCCTGATTCTCCTGTTAGCAAGCAGTAAGCAGTAAATAGGTACCTGGAGATAGACAGCTGCTACTGGCTGCTTCCTGTACTCACCTAGTTGTACTCACCTAGTTGTGCTTGCGGGGGTGAGCTCGGCTCTTTGGTCCCGCCTCTCAACCGTCAATACACAGGTGTACAGGTTCCTGAGTTGGGCTCTATCATATCTACACTTCAAACTGTGTATGGAGTCAGCCTCCACCACAAACACCACACACACACTGTGTGTGTGTGTGTGTGTGTGTGTGTGTGTGTGTGTGTGTGTGTGTGTGTGTGTGTGTGTGTGTGTGTGTGTGTGTGTGTGTGTAACAAAAAAGTATTAGTAAGTAGTTAGTAGTTGATTGATAGTTGAGAGGCCAACCCGTTCTCTTAAAAATAACGTCACTTTTGGCTGGTATGCGCTATGGCCAAATTTAGACGTAATTTGAAATGAAATCGACTCAAAAAAGTGACGTTCTGTTCCGTTTTCTATTTGAGTCGTCCGGCTTACGCGCAGAGGTTATAAGAGGACACTTTAAATTAACGTTTTTCATAACGTTTTGAAACTTTATGAGAATTTCCTGCCCACCTAACCTATCAGAGGACCCTTAACTTACTGTTGTTGAAAAAAAAAATCCCAAATTTATTTTCATTTTTTTTTCATTTTCAAATTACGTCCAAATTCGGCCATACGGGCAAACGGCCAAAAGCGACGTTCTTTTTAAGAGGACAGGTTGCTCGGGCGGAAAGAGCACAGCTCAACCCCTGCAAGAACAACTAGGTGAAAACAGCTAGGTAAATACACACCACACACACACACACACCACACATACACACGCGCACACACTAGTGTTAGTGTAGATTAACACTAACCCTATGGAACAAAATGGGGTCAAACAGGATGGTATGAAAACAGGACACAGGTGGAGGAGAGGAACAGGGCGAGTCATACATGGAGACGACTGTTCGTTCATGGAGGGAAATCAGTGAGGAATTGCAGGACATGATGGAAACCATAAGTAAACTGCAGAAGGAATTAAGTGCAGCGTAAGAGATAAAAAAAACTAAAAACAAGATTTCCTCAGACTCTGGCCCAGGCAACTAACCCCCCAGGTAATAGGGAATGTAGCAATGGCAGGGACCCCTACATTGGATGCCACCTTTGCTGCGTGCAGATGATGTGCCCAGATGCCATGTCCACAGTCAAGGAAGTTGTAATGAACGCAGTATCCTCACAGGAGGCATACCCGAGCGAGCTAAGTAGGTATTAAGAAACATGAAGGTTCCATAAGGGAAGAATGGAGGAATAAGGACACAGCTGCAGTGTCAGGGATACTAAAGGAGATAGGAATGGAAGGGGCTGAAAAAGACATAGAAAAGTTTTTCCGGATTGGCCAGTACAACAAAGACAAAGATCGGTTGATCAAGGTAGTGCTCAGAAACTATTATCATACTATTAAAAAATGAGGACACTAGTAAAAAAGATCAAACTGAAATATGTAAAAAATTACGAAAAGGTATTCCTTCAGAGGGACATGACCAGGGAAGAGATAATACAGGCAGCAGATGCAAGGAAAAGCCGCAGGTTGAGGGAAGGGAGCCAGGGAACCTCAGCCTCCAACCCAGCAATCCCAGAGGGGAGTGAGAAACCCCAATCCAGCAATTTGAGAACCCCAGAGGGGAACTGCAAGACCCCCAACCCTATTGGAGCCCTCCCCCCCTCCCTCCCACACACCAAGAACAAATCGTTCTATTCCCCTACACAATGCTCACCATACTACCCAGATCCACCCTCCCTCCCTACAACGAGTACCCCCCCCCCCCTGCCTTCCCATCCCCTGGTCTTCTTCCTGCCCCAAGCAGGCCCAGGCAAGATCCAAGTCCTCCATCCCCCACCCCACCCCCCTCGAACCCCCTGTTAACTACACAACAGGAGGATGAGCCCTCACCTCGAGTACCCCCTGCCCCCCAACCTCGAGCAATCCCTGCCCCCCAACCTCGAGCACTCCCTGCCCCTTCACCCCTAGAAATTCTTCCAGTCCCAAGCAGGACTTGTACAGAGAAATAGACCCTGATATAATACTCATTAACAGCCACGGAAAAAAGAACAGCGAGAAGATCAAGATCTTCAATTACAAAATTTACCAGGTCAACAGAGCTGACCAGGCCAACGATGGAGCGGCAATTGCCGTTAAAAGAAATATTCCTCACAAAATTCTAGATAACTTCCAGGAAAATTTCCTGGCAATTGAACTCCAAACTACGAAAGGTATAATCTTCATAGGAACATGCTACCAACCACCAAGACGTCCTTACCTTCCCCTTGCCGACATCATGAAACTTACCAGAAGGAACAGACCTGCCTACTTCCTGGGTGATCTGAACGCCAAGCACAGAACACTGGGACATGGAAAGAACAACCAAGCAGGAGAAGCCATCCACAATATGATAAGGTACGGAAATCTAACCCACCTGGGTCCAGACTTCCCAACTTACGTCAGACAAGGCCACAGTGGTAAACCAGACATAATACTGTCAAACAACCACCACTTCCTAAACACCCGCATAGAAAGGGGTCCTGTGAGCACAAGCGACCACCTACCAATAATAATGACGCTATCAACTAACCCCATTCAGAAACCCTCACCACCAAGACTTCAATACACTAAAACTGACTGGGAAGCGTTCAAAAGCAGTGCACAGGAAATCAGTGTCACAGATTTTAATGGAAAGGAAACATCTTGCATAAACGCCGAGTTAAATACATGGATTAACACCATTGAAAAATGCATGACTGATCACATTCCCGTAGCTCACCACATAACGCTCCCACACCCCCCAGCCACTGAGGCGCTCAGGACACTGCAAACCAGATATAACAATCTTTTACAACTCATAACACAACACGGGTGGACGGATGAGCGCAAAAGACTACAAAGGGAACTTCAAGATGAGCTGCAAGATCTATGCAAAACAGAGTACACCAAACAATGGGATGACCTAATAAGCAATATCCAAGTCGACTACAGAAACCCGGGGAAGTTCTGGAAAAAAGTAAAGACCCTGATGGGAAGCTCTTCTGAGGAAACACCCTACATCATAGACGCCTCAGGAAATAAACTCTATGAGGAGAGAGAACAAGAGCAGGAATTCAGGAAGTTCTGGGAAAAAATATTCAGGATAAACCCGGAAGAAAATTTAAATTTTTGCCCAATTAATGAAAGGGAAATTACAACTCAAGTCGATAACAGAGCTGCAGCACTACTCCCGACGCAAACAATAGACCTTAACAACATACGCGATGACTGCCACCTTATGAAACACATAACCATTGCGGAGGTCCATAAAACAATTATGGGTTTCAAGAACAAGGCGCCGGGCAACAGCAAAATAAATAAGATGGTATTATCCAACCTACCAGTGATTGCACTCCATCAATACACATGTATCTTAAATGCAGCTCTGGCATCTGGACTATTCCCCACATACTTCAAGAATGCCACAATACGATTAATCCCCAAGCCAGGTAAACCCCCAACCCAAACTGAAAACTACAGGCCAATTTCCCTCCTCGAAGTACCAGGTAAAATATTCGAAAAAATTATCAATCAGAGACTTGTGAAGTACATGGAAGAGGAAGGGAAGTATAACAGCAGGCAGCATGGGTTTAGACACCGCAGAGGGGCCCATACAGCTATAGCTCTGATCTACGAGCATATAGCTAACGCAGTGTCGAAAAAAGATCAGTGTAATATAGTGCTTAGGGACGTCTCGAAAGCCTTCGATAAAGTGTGGCACACAGGCCTAAAATATAAGATATCTGAACTAGGACTTCCTGAGAGATTTACAGCTACTCTCTGCAGCTTTATAGACAATAGAACTGCTAGGCTTAATATCGGCAGCTACTTGGGTGACGTAATAGAACTGAAAAGCGGAGTACCACAAGGAAGCTGCCTCTCCCCCACTCTATTCAACATATATACAGCTGACCTACCCCAACCCCAACATGGAGAATACATCACATACGCTGATGATGTTACCCAAATAATATGCCAACCGGGCCCATCAAAGCCGCTACTAGCCGACAAGACCAAGGCAGCCATTGAACTCATAAACAACTTTGAGAAGCAATGGAAAATTAGCACCAACAAACAAAAGTTCCAAATAATACACATTGCGAAAAGAAACCCTGACCCCATCATCCTTGATAACCAGCCCATCCAATATGCGGAGGTAGGCAGAATACTGGGACTTATGATAAATAGAACAGGGATACAAATTCATGTAAGGGACCGACTAAACAAAGCCAAAGCAGC